TTGTTAATTCACTCAAAAAAAAGACATTCTTAAAATCTAAAATATTTGAACATATTGATCTGTTTAAATTTAAGTTATCTAGTGCATCCAGAGTCTTTCCAGACATTTCCCACATCTCTCTCACTTAGGCATCCCTTGATCTATGGTGTCACCTGTGTCCTGGGAATACTTGGTGGAAGGCATTTCTGCTCACTGTAGAGAATACAGTAGCTGACCACAGGTCATTAATGATGGTAACTATAACTCCACCAGGAAAATAAAATAAAAAAAAAATTCTAGCAATGTATAATTTGAGGACAAACCACTCCTCAACCTAAGAAGTTGGGCATGAACCCTGAGGTAGACTATGGTTTTTCTCATAATAAAATAGAGTAGAGTTTTTGAAGAAAGTTTGTTTTTTTAATCAATGTGACAGAAATGATCAGGTATAAAAATCCGTAAATGATGCTCATGTTTAGAAACTGTTGGATTTGAGCTCAGAAATAAGTAGAAAAATTTATTAAAACTAATATTTAGACATTTGGCTATACCTCCTTGCACTCAATGCAACAATTTAGAGATAGCGGGCCAGTTGGTGTGTTTGGCTTTAGAATGAATTCCTCAAAACAATGAAAATTAGATCACATTCCAAATACTATCCAACAAATTTGGCACTGTTTCTTAGACATATCTAGATCACAAAATACTCAAGATAAATTGCTAAGAATGAGTCAAAGTCAAACATGTTAAATATTTGAGTCATAAGGTGATATTAATATTAGCCATTTCCTTTATAACAAAACCTTCAACATTCATTACTGGTGTAACACAAGTTATGCTTTTCTTCACTTCCTGGCCATAGGTCTTGATGAAAGTGTAGCCTTTGGGCAAACTACATTTTATCTCTCAATTGTGTTTTTGTCTTCAGACAGAACACAACAAATACAGATGCCTGGTCCCTGGGGATTCCAACCCTGCGGCAGTACCTCCCTCATTGCACCAATGAGAGAGGGTAGGTGGAATATCAATGGCATTGGTTATGGGGACTGGGCAATTTTGGGATTTGGCCCATGTGCACACTCCTGGGATTGCCACTTTAAATTGGCCTTATGCCATATCCTGTCACCTTTGAGTAAATATCAAGTGTAGTATTTGTTCTCCTCATCTCTAATGGTAATGATAATATTAACCATTTCTTTATAAGGAAACATTCAGCATTCATTGATTGAGCAGCCAATGTGACATAAGTTACACTTTTCTTCACACCCTGGCCATCAGGGTAGGATCACCAAGTAGTATCTGTGCTCTTCATCTCTGATGGTAATATCAGCTGATTCCTTATAAGGAAACATTTGGCATTTATTGACTGAGCATCCAATGCTACATGTTAGACTTTTCTTCACTCTTGGCTATCAGACTGAGATCAAAGAGTAGTATCTGTTCACCTCATATTTAATGGTAATATTAGTCATTTCCTTATAAGGAAACATTTGACATTCATTGACTGAGCAGCCAGTGCTACTCAACACTTTTCTTTATTCCTTGGCTATCTGGCAAGGATCAAAGCATAGTATCTGTTCTAATCTTAAATGGTAATATTAGCCGTTTCCTTACAAGTAAACATTTGGCATTCATTGGCTGAATAGCCAGTGCTGCTGTTGGTAGAAATTTATCAAAGCTTTTTCTTAAAACAATTTTTCAGGAAAATAGGTTTCTCTAGTATTCTGTTACCATTCTTTCCATTATTAATGGGGGAAGGGTTTTTGCTTGTAGTATGAAATGTCAGCATTTTGGTTATATCATTATTTTATCTTTGAGGTTCATGTGCTATCTATTGTAGTTGTTGTTGCCGTTGGTAGTCCACAAATGATACAGTTCTTATTATTTGGTAAAGTTCATTCTTTGTGATTCTGTAGCACCACTTCATAAGGTTTGAAGTAAGATTATCTTTTCTAAGACCAACAGAATTAATTTGCTCAAAGCCAGTTTTAATAATTCATCTGAGAAAGTGATTGTATGCAGTTGACAGTTTACATATTTCTGAACAGGTTGGATGACCTCCATATGAAAGTCTTGATCTGATTTAAGTACATGACTTGAATTCTTAGGTTAATGTTTTTTTTTTTTTAACAGTTTGTGATGTTAGATGAAACTACTCTGAGCATAGCCTATTTTGTCCAATTTTCAATTTTTTTATCTCCTATGCTAAATTTATCATAACTGATTTATACATTGAGTTATTTGAAGTATTTAGGATTTGTTAATTCTATATCCCGAATTTTTATGATGGATTCAGGGTATATGCCATCACTGCTTTCAATTCAGTTTCAGGTCATTGCTTCTGTTTTGGAAAGGTTTATCTTGAATCCTATTTCTTGGAACACTTGGTATAGATATTGTTGTTGTTCTTTTTCTTTCTTTTTTTCTTTTTTTTTCTTTTTTTTTTTTTTTTTTTTTTTTTGTTCAAGATCATTCTTGTCCCAATTATGAATACCTATGTCATTAGCATACCCCCTCATCATTAGTACATTGGCCTCAGGAGGAGAAGCAAGAATGCTGTTTTCTATCAGTTGATTGATTTGGTATGTGCTATATGAGTTTAAGATGGTAGAAAATCATTCCCAGGGGTTTTTGCTGCTCACTACACTTTTCCTGGATTTATCTCCTGGAGAAAATCATATCGATGGTTTCTCTATTAGCTCTGAGACCACATTGACTTTTAAGGAGACTGTCATCTGACAAGCTCAAGAAGTGATTGAGAAGGATCCTGGCCAGGATCTTCCATATGATGGACAGGAGAGAGATTCCATGGTAGTTTTCACAAATGTTTCCATCTCCTTTCTTGAAGATGGTTACAATATTTGCATCCTTCAGATCTGAAGAGACATCCACAAAAATTGAAAGCTTCCATCAAAGGAACTGCGGAACACGGATCACAAACAACAAAGTTCCCTTCTGCACAAAGATGGAGAGCTTAGAAATCATCATGACTCACCACCAACTTTGATGGGCCACACACCTTGCTCTAATGACAGACATCTGCCTACCTGAACAAGTACTCTTCTTAGAGCTTGCATCTGCCAAGTGACCACGTAGAGCCCCCATGCCGTTGATTCAGCTCAATACACCTTGCTGAGAACAGAAATTGATCCAGTCAGTTGGGAGACAGAAGCTGCAGAAAGAACCAATTGGAGAAGAGCAGTCCATGAAAAAACATCTCTTCTGATCCAACATTCCTTTTGCATAGATGGAAATCTCAATGAGCACCCAATACTCTACCAACGATGATATAAGTTTGGGGATCAATGTGAAATATAATACTTGAATGTCTCAATCATTCTGATATCAATGATGACATAACAATTTAGGGATTAGTTGCAATCATATCAGTAGAGACCAGCAGAGAATATCCTACTGTTGACTTGTGTAATTAGCATCTCTTGGACAATTCCTGTCAATAACAAAAATCCTCATGCTGCAATATCTTATTCTCTAAAGTAAAGAAGTATTAAAATCTGGAAATAGCTGAACAAGATAAATAAGTGAATATAACAAACACAACTGGAATTGAAACTCTGCTTTCCAATTAACAATTCTGAGCCATTATCCATTACACCAACCACACATCCAAGATTACACCACCTGATATTCTCATGTCATCATCCGTCTAGGTACTGACCAGGCTTGACTTTACTTAATTTCAGTAATTGTTTGGGAACCAGTGTTTAAGTATGATGTGACCATAAGCCAAGAAGGAGAGTGGGGTAAATGAAACAGTATTGTGAGAAACAAAGAAGCGTCATACAACACATGAAAACAACATTCTTATGAAAGGGGCTGCATGTAATACTGGATCAGTTGTTGGGAAGGGTTGATTGATTTGATTTTTTATTGATTATCAACCCTTTGTGAGTTTTTGTTGGGTGGCAGAACAAAGATTTTCCAGATATATCCTACTATTTAACCTATAGCTGGAGGGAGAAGAGATGGGTTTTTGCCTTTCCCAAGGGTATTTGCATGTAAATGAATGTAATAAACTCAGTTGGAATGCAAATTCAGCTCACCAATTTCTCAGTCTGAGCCACAATCCTTTACACCACCCTTGTGGATGGAAGTGATTATGTTAATGTATAGGTCATCCAATAAGCAAATAATAAAATAAATGTATAAGAATTGATATGACAGTTAGTAGTAACCTCTACATCACCAAAATTAAAGCAATTTACTTAATTGTTTTCTTCCTCAACTAAGTGGGCTTGTCCTGTAACTAGAAGCACCTTTGATAATTGCCCCACCATCAATGCAAAGCTTAATTTCAGGCAAAGCTGGGAGTCTGGTGATTTTAAGATAAATATTTAATTCACATTAAATCAGGCTTGTTTATTTCTTGCAATTTTTTGATGGAGAAAAAACTAATTCTTCCAATGGTCAATAATTCTATTTAATTGCCATTCCTGGTGAGACATGGCAGGAATTACAGGCAGATCATGTGACATCATTCAGATGAAAAATTTTCAAAGGCATTTCAAGGAGAGTTTGGTAACATTCTTCAGATCTTCAACTATAATGTGGGTAAAGGAAAGTTCTATTTGTTTTTACCCTTTTTGTTGGACTGTGACTTGACATTGGACAACATACTGATTTGATGATTTCTTATGTCTCCAGGGGCATCATCATCTATTTACAAAAGTTTTTCATTCTTTGAGGAAGATATTTCATGCCTTTTAGTTACTAGGACATTTAGAAAGTACCCTAAACAAAAAACAATTTTTTCATACTTTTTTTTTATTCTTTTTACGTTTTTTTAATTCTTTTTACTTTTTTTTTTTTTCATTCTTTTTACTTTTTTTTTTTTATTCTTTTTACTTTTTACTTTTTTTTTCATTCTTTTCTTATATTTTTTCTTATCCATACTCTGATTAGGTTAATACTTGATTTGAAACTGTTTTGAAAATGATGGCTAATAAGTAGTCTGACATGGATGATTTCAATGTTTTAATTGATCTCTGAAATATTTTCAGATGCTTGGTCAGCTAGTTGGGAGTGGGCAGTGGACTCCCAATTGCAAGAAGAGGAGGAAGAATGCTTTTCTAAAAGACGATATCATGAAACCTGGTTGCAGAATTCTATAATATCTTTGTCTCCAGCTAATGACCTTTTAGCCATTGCAAACGAGGACCGGATTGTCCTTCTTGCACGTAAGTGATTTTTAATATTCCTTTTTTAAAATGATCCTTTTGGGGTATAATAATTATGATGTAATATTATCATAATTTAAGTCATACTATAAGTTATCAATATTGATATTATTTTTTAAAAGTAATGAAATAACAGTATGTAAAAGTAATTGTAGGTGATGCCACTGTACCTTGGCATCATGGAAATGCCCAAATCTCTGTCTATTTACTTTGATATCTAGTGGGTCAGTAGGTACACAAGTTCAGCTACTTATGGTAAAGTGACATGGATTTTTAAATAGGGCATAGTAGTGAGTGCTAGACAAACTGGACGTTCCATTTCTGTAATTGCGAAGATATTTGACATCCCTTCATCTATGCTGTTATATAAGTATTGGTAATACTTGATGGAAGGCATTACTGCCCACTGGGTAGAGAATAGTGACCAACCACAGGTCCTTAATGATTGTGACTACAGGTATCTATCTAGAATTTTCTGCTGTAACAGACAAGTAATACTGGTTTAAATTACACTCACACTATTCCTGGGTATAATGATAAACTACATCCGGCAGCAAGGCCTCTGATTGAGAGATTGGAAGTTTTAAGGAGTGTGGAACCACTTCTTAATTGCTGCTGTTCTCAGGTCCATCCTGACCCAGGCTGGTAGCACCTGTTAGGGTCCCAGCTATGGGCAAATAGTCCCCCCCCCCACTACAAACTGAGGTCAAACACGAAAGTGTAAAAAAGAAAAGTGTATTTTATGGTGAAATATAATTGTCCTGTGGTGCACCCAATTCGTGGAGCTCCCATTTAGTTCCTGAAAACAATGGATTTAGAGGAGTAAACCTCAAAATAAATTTTGCCACAACCTTGGTTGCAATAGGCTTCCATGGAAGTCTTCAACAAACAGATGTCCTAGTACAGTAGCCACAGTGGTTTAGCAGATAACCCACCCTATGTGGACGACAGTGAGACACACAGCCCAGGTGTTGGAATAGCACATTTCTCAAATGCTGCAAAGATTTCAGTTTAAATGATAGGACAGGCAATCCCGTGGAAACATTGAAACCAATAATATGGCTAGTTCTCTTACAAAGTCACTGATAGGCAGTGCTAGTAATGATTTGGCTGACTCTTGGATGCAGGAGGCAGGTTCCAGCTATCATGGCAAAACCAGCAAGCACCCAACCAACTTCCAGGTTGTCTCACTTAACATGGGTACTTTGAAAAGGAGAAGCAGTGAAGTGGTGGATATCCTCACTAAGGAGAGTAGACATTTGTTCTGTTCAGGAGCACAGATGGTCAGGAGGACTGGAGGCCAATCAGATCCATCTTCTCAAAGGCAAGAGTTCCTAGTAAATTCTTCTGGTGTGGAAACCAGGTGGGGGCCAACATTCTGCTGGCTGAAAGATGGGTGGTGAAGGTACTTGATGTCCAATGGATCTCTGATGGAATCCTACTATTGAGACTGGTTGTGGGCAGAGCTGTTTTGTGTTTCTCTCTCTCTCTATATGTCACAAGTTGGTCATCCTGATACAGAAATGAAGTGCTTCTATGACCATTTGCAGAACCTGGTTGCTGGAATTCCCTCATTGGAGATTCTCATACCAAATGGGGATTGGAGTGGGTATGTGGGTGCTTGTGTCAATGGCTTTGAGGAGGTTGATGGTGGTTATGGGGTACGAAACACTGAAGGTGAGAATATACTGGAGTTTGTCTTTTCGGATTATCTGATCATTGGTAGCACTCAGTTCTTGAAAATAGTTACACCTGGTCACCTTCAGTTCTGCCAGTGATAAATCACAGATTGACTATATCCTATATCACAAAAGCTTCAGCAAGTTGGTCTTGGATGTCAAAGTTACACCTGGTGAGGAGTGCACATTGCAGCATCATTTGCAACTTTAAAGCTTCAATACCAAAACTCAGGAGACACATTCAAACCATGCCTTCAGACCTGGCAGCTTCACAATCCAACTATCCCAAGCAAGTTTCAAACAGCCTACAATGCTAAATTGGAGGACTTGCAGACTGATATTGATGCTGTACCAAATGTGGAAGAAATATGATCTAAGTTGGAGACACCTTTGCTGGAGGCAGCCAATGAGGGATGTGACACTTCCAAGAACCATCAGTGGAAACTGGAGACCTGGTGGTAGAATGGCTGAGTTGATGATGCTGTCACTGAGAAAAGGTCTTGTTACAAGGCTCTTATGAGGCAAGGTTTTGTTACTAAAATGGCTGTAACAAAGACAGCATACAGCAAGGCCAAGCATATTGTCAAATGAGTAATATTGCTTGCCAAGTCAAAGGCTGAAAAGAATACTTTTGCTGATATATCACCTCACAACGACAGTCTTTTGTCTAAAGAAAATGGACAGGACCAACCAGGATGTCAATGGTGAGAAGTGTGTTCAAAATGATGCTGGAGAACTATCACTCGGTGATGACCAAAAGATGAAAGCTTGAGTTGAACATTATAGCATGTTGCTAAATGTGAGAATTTGATTGGCTGAGTGATATGCTCCCTGAGATTGCACCAGTTGCAGGTCCTCCTCCATTTCCATTTGTTACATCAGCACTGATTGGCAAAGTGATCAAGAAGATAAAGTGTGGAAAGGCAGCTGACCCATCTGGTGTCATTGCCGAAATGCTGAAAGCATCTGGTGATAAAAGCATTGAAATACTTAGGTTACTTACGGAATCCATTTTCAGTAGTGGTGTGATCCTAAGTGAGTGGGAGGAGAGCTTTATTCTCAGCCTCTACAAGGGCAAGGATGTTGCTTTGGACAGAGGCAACTACAGAGGCCTCAAGCTTACTGATCAAGTAATGAAACTGCTGGAATGTGTGCTTGACTGACTCGTACATCAGAGGAATAGTCAATATCAATAAAATGCAGTGTGGTTTCATGCCAAGGAGAACCACCACTGACACAATTTTCATTGTGCATCAGCTGTAGGAGAAATTCATCGCTGCTGTGAAACCCTTCTTCTTTGCCTTTGTGGATCTGGAAAAGGCATTTGATTGTGTTCCAAGAAATGTGATATTGTGGGCCATGTAGTTGAGGATTGCATTATTCGTGTGGTTCAGTTCATGTATTGCAATGCCTGTAGTCTAGTTAGATTTAATGGCCAATATAACAGGGTGTTTGGTGGCATCACCGGTAGGCTAACAGAACTGTTATCTTGGTGATATGCTCTGCACAAGTGAAGGTTGTGAGCTTGACATTATAACAGACTACTTTGTGGCTTGGGGGTTATTTAAAAAACTCCTACCCATTTTCACATTCAAACACGTATCATTGAGAACTCGTGGCAAATTGTTCTCTGCAGGTGTATGATCTGCACTGCTCCATGGCAGTGAGACTTGAGCACCAAGTGTGTTGGTCTTGTGGCAGCTCTGCTGCAGTGACCTCTTGATAATTTGCTGGATCTGTGATACCAAGCCTCAATATAAAACACCCTCATCTAAATTGTTAACAAGGCTCGGTATTGAGGATATAACATCAGTGCTGTGCACCCGTCATCTTAGATGGTTTGGTTATGTCTAACAAGCTCTGTCATGCATTAGGACTGTCTCAGAGTTCATGGTTCCTGGTCACAGTTCATGAGGAGTATGGCCTTGCCCACATTAACCTGCATGATAGGGATGATTGGAAAGGAGTGAGAGCTTGCCAACTGCTGCCTACCCCAGTCACTGGGAAACCCGCAGCAGTATAAGCAAAGTTCCAGATATTGACTTGATTTTATTCAATGTAGGAGGTTCCAGTTTCCATTCCATTCAATTCAAAAAATTTTAGCTTCTATAAGATATGGGAGCAGAAGGACCACTGAAGTGTTCCTGTTAACTTTAAAGAGCACCTCATCTGGGTTTGTGAAATTGTTAATTGGACCCTGGTGAAATTTCAACCTGTGACAGGGTCCAATGTGTCAAAGTTCCTGTTGTTTCAGACTGATGTTAAGGTTTGACTGTACTATAGAATCCATAAATCCATAAACCAGAGTTGTTAACAAGGCACCATGTAGTTTAGTGGTAATTCCTGAATATAGTCATCTGAAAGAGTGAAGAAGAAGCTGATCTCATTTTCATTGTCATAATGATATTTTTTTTTTTTTTTTTTTTTTTTAATTATTTTACCCCAAAGAGGCAATAAAGCCACTAAGATGGGAGGGGGGGTTACTGAATGTGAAAGAATATAAGAAAAAGAAAAACATATTCTTTCACACCCAGCAACCCCTTAACAGATTGTTGTTAGGCAATATGGTCGCAGTTTGCTGAAAGAGACAATAACACATTACCAAGTATAATGATGTCTCAGCCACCAAGTACAGTGTTTTAGTGATCATAGATTTGTTGGACTGTGGTTGCCACATCAGTTGTGGCACATTCCATCTAGCAAGTGAAATATATATGTATTTATTTATTCATTTTTCATTCTCTCATCTCAATCAAGGCAGGTAAAGGTAAAAGAAAAAATAGCCTGATATTGAACTAAACCTAAAAAATTAGTAGAAACAGCAACAATTCTATCATTAGAATCTAGTGTCTTGGGCGTGGTGAAATGATGTCTACTATTGCAAGCATGATCAGAGATGAGACATTGGAATCTATCAGTGATTCTCATTATGTGTCAGTTATGATTGATGGTGCCACTGACAGCTCTGTGTCAGAAAATGAAGCAGTTTATGTGAGAACAGTGTTGAATGGCAAAGCAGAAAATAAACTTGAAGTTATTGCCATTGAACATGGCCATGCTAAAGGCATTATCTCTGCTACTAAATCTGCTCTTTCAAAAGTGGGGATCAGTGATTATGAAATGTCATTGAGAATTGTTGGGTTTTGTGTAGATGGGGCAGAGGAATGGTGTTGTGTCACTGTTAAGGCAGGAAGTTCCCCATCTCATAGACTTTCACTGTATGGCACATAGGCTTGAATTAGCCCTATTGAAACTACAAAAACAGACTCCTATTATGCAGTCTGTCAATGACTGTCTACATTTGATATGGAAGACTTCAGT